TAAAATATTTATATGTACATTAAATGCATATATAGGTATGTGAGTGGGACAGTGTGAGAAGTTATCCACAGGGTGAGAAAAGCAGAGTATGTTAAGGGTGTAGAGGACAGGGATCTGTGTATATGTCTTTGTTGCACACATAAAAGTTTGTGTGGGCATGCATACACAGGAGTGTCCCCTAGTACTCGACTGGTAACTGATTATATACTCAGGACCAGAAATATATAAGAAAACCAAAATTGCCCTGCAATACATAAGAAAACTAAGCTTTGACTTTTAAATTCTACTTTAGTCATCTATTTTTCCAGAAAAAAATTAAGAATAAAATTAATTAAGAACAAATATAAATACAATATACTTTCTCAGTTAAAAGCAGGTTATTAAAACATCAGGTAGCATAAGGTAGCAAGGAAGCAATTCCACTGAAAGAAGCTAAAATTAGATTTGATTACAAATGTGTAGTTGGATTAACTGCAAAAGATAGACAATATTCTCTTCTGCAGTAACCCTAATAGTATTTCAAAATTTAGCATAACAACTGGAATTTTTCATGTGCAAGCTTGAAATAAATGCATGCAGTATAAGGCAAGGGTAGTGAATTTTAGTCTTAGCATTTCTGCAGCATATTTTAAATATTATGAGATTAATTCCATGTTCTAAAATATGATATAAGTAATGACCTTAAAAATGTTTCAAAGTAGTTTGATTTTTTTCATGAACTGTAGTAAATTCTTCCTTTTAGTGTTACTTGTTCCATATGTATGTCGGGGTACGAGCAGGTGGCGGCATAGGAGATGAAATTGAAGACCCTGCAGGAGACCCTTATGAAATATATCGAATTGTTTTTGATATCACATTTTTCTTCTTTGTCATCGTTATCCTACTGGCCATCATTCAAGGTTTGTTATTGTTAAGGTTCCTGGAGTTTACTAATGCTTTGTACTGCAAGCCTTTAAAAAAATTCATACACATTTGTGTATCACAGCCCCTCTTGACAGCAATTTCCAGAGTTTAACTATGCACTGTGTCGAGCACTTCCTTTTGTCAGACTTTAATCTCTCTGCATTTAGGCTTCATTGATAAACTTGAATTCTAATATAGGAAGAAGGAATGAATAGTTTTCCCTACACATGCTGCCATGCCAAAAATAAATTTATATGCCTCTATTGTCATCCTTTAATTTGCCTTCTAAGCTCTTCTCCCTTTTTTGGAGCAGGGGGAGAGGGAGAGTTGCTTAAGCTCCTGCTAAAAATTTTACTCTTTTCTGTGCCTGTTCTAGCAGTACAGTATCCCTTTTGACATCACAACTGTATACAATATTCTTTCAAATAACAGGTCTTATTATTGATGCCTTTGGTGAACTGAGAGATCAGCAAGAGCAGGTCAAAGAAGATATGGAGGTAAGAACATGATTGTATTGAGTTGGTTTTTCAGTAAATTAAGAGAAAAAACATTGTAACAAATTGTAAGACTAGATTAAATCATAATGTATGAATTATTTTGCTAATATTTTTATTTGATTTCTAGACCAAATGTTTTATTTGTGGAATTGGTAATGATTATTTTGATACGACTCCACATGGCTTTGAAATGCATACTTTACAAGAGCACAATTTGGCCAACTACTTGTAAGTAAATGCATGTTCTGCTTTATTAATGCACATTTCTTTAGAAATGATTCTTAGCGGTATTATCGGGTTAGTCCAGGCTCACAGCACAATGCTAGGAATATCTACCCAGAAGGGAGCTCCATGAGTCTTACTCCCAAATCAGTGTGTTACACTCCTGTACCCCCAGACTCAGGGGTCTGTCAGTGTTGGTTATGGAGCTGCTAGTGATCCCATATGACAGCTAAAGCTGTACCTTTCTCACAATTCCACTGCATGGGTCTGCTGGTGGGGGTACCAAACAGAGCTTATCAGAGGGGAACTAGCAGTAGACCCTGAAACTATAGCCAGAGTCAGTTTCAGGGTCACCGAAGGAAAACAAACAAATGAACAAAAATCCCAACCATTGTTCCCACCTCATGCCTGCTCAGAGCAAGCTGGCAAGCTTTGGAGAAGGACGGACTCCAGAACAGGAGTGCTCTGTCAATCTCTAGACCAGTATTTCTCAAACTTGTCAACTTTAAGAGGTGTGGATTTCAACCATGCTGGCTGGGGAATTCTGGAAGTTGAAATCCACACCTCTTAAAGTTACCAAGTTTGAGAAACACTGCTCTAAATGTACAGTAACACTCATCAACTTTATCAAAGAGGAGAGACATCATCTTTGGAAAGATAACAGTATGAGCCATCAGAGGTTTTGGCAGCAGGAAAATTAATACTTCTCCAAGGCAAATTTTGCCTCAGAACCATTTGGCATAGGGGCCTGTCATACTTCTTCCTTGAAATGCAAATGTAAAATATAAGGTACTTTTTAAAAAAATTGTTCATGAAAGAAAAAACACAGAATCAGTCACAAACAAAATATTGTGAATAACTGAACAGGTACTAGCATCAGCAGCTTCACATTAGTTTTTTTTACTAGTCTTTTTGTTGGTTTATTTTTTTTCTAAATGCTTTCTTGATGAGGATGTCTACTTTTTTGGACTGGGAATTCACAAGCAGAGATTTTTACATACACCAAGCAATTTTACAAATGTAAAATATTTCACTACTCTAATATCAGCATTCAACTACTTCTAAGGCCCTATGAAATGAATAATGAAACATTTTTAAAAGCTATTGTTTCACATTTTTTTACACTGAAAGAATTATAGATACCACAAAAACATCATGTGTAGTTTCATATTCTTTTTCCAGGTTCTTTTTGATGTATCTCATTAATAAGGATGAAACTGAGCACACTGGGCAGGTAAAGCATTAATTGATTATTCATTTTATAAATGTGTAAGTGAAAGAAGGAAAAGAAAACATTTCACAAAACATACTTTATATTTTAATCAACATTCTCTTATACATATACTAATGTCACATCATACAGTTAAATGATTAACATTAAAGTCAGTTGACTTAGCAAGAAAAAAAAATACATAGACTAATATATGCAGTTTCAAAAGTACTCCATTTGGGACCACCAGTGATAAAGTAAATGTTCAAATATAGTAGGACAGGTAACTTTAGAACTAATAAAGAATAGGTGTCTTTCCACCTTCTATTGGTTTGTAATCATAAAATAATGACATATTTATTTCTGTTGTCCTCCTATTAATTCCCAAAACATTGGAATATAATTGGAAAGATGATGAGTACCTACAGAAACAAATGTATCTTACATAACAAAACTAGCATGCAAAGTACCCCCCCCCAAAAAGGAACCTCTATGGTACAAGAGCATATTGTTTAAATAAATGTAGCATTTTGAGCACAACTCCATAAATTAGGTGCATCCATCAATTTCTTCCTGAAAAGATAGCCAGGTGGGCAATATACATAAAATAACATCAAATGAATTACAATGTGTGTATGTGTGTGTATACAGTGGGGCAAAAAAGTATTTAGTCAGCCACCAATTGTGCAAGTTCTCCCACTTAAAAAGATGAGAGAGGCCTGTAATTTTCATCATAGGTTCCCACAGTTGATTTCTTCACACCAAGCTGCTTGCCTATTGCAGATCCAGTGTTCCCAGCCTGGTACAGGTCTACAATTTTGTTTCTGGTGTCCTTCAACAGCTCCTTGGTCTTGACCACAGTGGAGTTTGGAGTGTGACTGTTTGAGGTTGTGGACAGGTGTCTTT